AACGCCTGATTACTCGCTTACCTTACCTTCTTGCTTTTTTTCTTTTCTTTTTTTTTCTTGTTATTTTTTTAATCTCATTTGTACAGGGTGTCTTGGCAAGTGTAATGCTGATCGCAGTGCATACTTAGCAAGGCTTGCACGGGGAACGATTAGCTTCCGTGATGGGGGAACGATTACCTTTCGAGAGAATGAAGTTCAGCGGCCGTTCGAGCAAACGACTACATTCCTTGCGGGGAATGATCACTTTCCACGAGAGAAAAAGAAAACTATCTACCTGCAATACCTGTGTAGGTGTAGGGGGGGAGGGGGTGAAGACAATTAACTTTCCGTGGATAATTATTTACGAAAGGCGTCCGATAGAGAAAGAAAGATCAACGAACAAGACCTGGCTGCCCTCCCCCCCCTTCCATCTCAACCCCTTCCCCCCGCAAAGTCACTGGCCATTAAGAGCAACGCGAGATAGATTTTCCTGCGATAACTGTTACGGCGAGATGTAAAACCTTTTTTTTTTTCTTTTTGTCTTTACAAACTTCGAGTTTACGAAGCGTGGGAGGAATGCGGTTGTGGGTGAAGGGAAGGGGAGAGGATGGGGAGAGTGGGGATGGGAGGAAGGGGATAGGGTGGGGAGAGTGGGGAAGGGAGGAAGGGGAGAGGGGGGAAGGGAGGAAGGGGAGAGGGGGGATGGGAGGAAGGGGAGAGGGGGGATGGGAGGAAAGGGAGAGTAGGGAAGGGAGGATGGGGAAGTGGGGAAGGGAGGAAGGGGAGAGTGGGGAAGGGAGGAAGGGGAGAGTGGGGAAGGGAGGAAGGGGAGAGGGGGGAAGGGAGGAAGGGGAGAGGGGGGGAAGGGAGGAAGGAGGGGAGTAGAGGAAGGGTAATGGAACGATAATAAGGGGAGTGTGTGTGTGTGGGGGGGGGGGGAGCCAGTTTCACAAGCAAAACAATAACCCAGCTATCTCTGAAGGAAAAAATAAATAAATAAATAAATAACGGGTATAAAGGAGAGCAAATGAATGAGATGAAAAAGAAAAAAAAACTGAAGACTTAAACGAAGCAAATAATATACAATCGTGCCTGCAAAGCGTATCGCCGTAAAGCAATAAAAGATGTCACCACAGCACTAGCACTACACGCACAGGGGGTGGAGGAGGGGGGAGGGAGGGGAGAGATTACCAGGGCGGGGGGAGGGGGAGAGGGAGGGGAGACATTGCGGGGGGAGGAGGGAGGGGAGACATTGCGGGGGGAGGAGGAAGGAGAGACATTGCGGGGGGAGGAGGGAGGGGAGACATTGTGAGGGAGGGAGGGAGGTGAGACATTGCAGGGGGGGAGGGAGGGGAGACATTGCGGGGGGAGGAAGGAGGGGAGACATTGTGGGGGGAGGGAGGGAGGGGAGACATTGTGAGGGGGAGGGAGGGAGGGGTGGGGAATATTACGAGGGGTTCAGGAGGGGTTGAGGGGGGGAAAGGGTGAAGCAGGTGGGCTGGGAGATGGGGGTGAAGGAGGTGGGGTAAGGTGGAGGCAAGTGGAGTATGGGGGGGGAGAGAGGGAGGTATGAGTAGGGGAGGGAGAGAGGGAGGTATGGGTTGGGGAGGAGTTGAGGGAATTGGAGTAGCCTGGGGGGGGGGAGACTACAAGGGGAGAAGGGAGCTGGGGGGAGGGGGAGGGGACGAGACGACGACTACGGAGCATGCTGTGATACCGAGCAGAATTAGTAATTCTATAAGATAATTGGTCGTTAGCGTGTCAGCGAGGCCTCCAGATTATCTCTTTACGGCTGTTGCTTCTTCGGGACCGACCGCAGTGTTGAGGGGGTGCAGGGGCAGGGGCAGAGGGGAGGAGGGTCAGGGGAGAGGGGGAGAGAGGAGATGGCTCAGGGGAGAGGGGGGAGGGGAGGTGGATCAGAGGGAAAGGGGAGAGGTTGCACAGGCAAGGGGGGTGGTGAGGGGGAGTTAGTTCCGTGGGAGAGGGAGGAGGTGGGAAGGTGGTTGCAAGAGCCAGTTGACAAGGAGCAGGAGGGAGGGGGTGGGAAGGTGGTTGCAAGAGCCAGTTGACAAGGAGCAGGAGGGAGGGGGTGGGGCTAGTTATCGCTGTCAGGTGCGTTGGTCTTACCGCGTTGCTTGCGTAGATATTACGCTGATTAATTGCCTGTGTCTGTGTACTTTTTTCCTCTTCCTCTTCCTCTTCCTCTCTCTCCCTCTCTCTCTCTCTCTCTCTCTCTCTCTCTCTCTCTCTCTCCTCTCTCTCTCTCTCTCTCTCTCTCTCTCTCTCTCTCTCTCCCTCAACCTCCTTTTCTACCTCTCCCCTTTTCCTATTCCTCTCCCCTCCTCTCGCCCTTTCCTTGTCCCAAGTTCCCTCCCACTCCCCCTTTCTTCGGCCACTTTCCTCTCTCCCTTCGCCCCTCTCCCTCTCCCAACCTCGCACCTTTTCTCCCTTTTCTCTCCCCTCCCCTTCCCCCCCTCGTCCTCTCCTCCGTGAGTGTGAGCAGTCGTGATTCAGTGTGTTT